AACCATAATCAAATTCAAAAACATGATCATAATCACCACCATCCGCAGTGTCAACATCATCTGCATCATCATCAGCACCAACAGCATCAGCAGCAACATCATCGTCATCACCACCATTTTTAAGCACATCGTGCTGAGGAGTAGGGAGGAAGAGAAACGGAGAAAATGGCCACCACCCGCGGAGATGGCCCTAAAGGTCACCTACCCCCGCTCTTCGCCCCCTCCAGAATGAGGGCGGGGAGAGGCCGCCATGGATGGCGGGGTGATTTCTGGCCGTCGCTCCACCTCAGCACGATGCGCAGCAGTACGCGGGGAGGGCTGGAGGGAGGGCGGGAAGGAAGGAGGAGCCAAAAGCAACATGAGCTGAAGAGGGGCCGTTTTTCACCCCAGCGGATAAGGCTGACAGCGTGTACCCATTTCTAAACGTGGCGTTTCTGACCCCCCCGTTGGGAAACCCACCCTGACCTCTTAGCCCCCCCCCAGTTTTCCAAGACAACCCCGAATCAGACCCCCCCAAAAAATCATACCCCCGACGCACTTCATTACGGAATTGCAAATACTCGTTTGAGCCTGCGGCCTCCGTCCCACGCGCGGCCACCCGACGGCGGAGGGCCTCAAGCCCAGGCAGCAGGGCGCTCCTCGGGTCCTCCGTCCCAGGCGGCTGCAGGTACAACGCGCGCGAGGAGAGGGCTGTGGAGGAAAATAAGAATAATAATAAGAGGGAAAAAATAAGGAGGAGGAGGAGGAGGAGGAGGAGGCGGAGGCGGAGGCGGAGGAGGAGGAGGAGGAGGCCACGACAGGACAGGACATCCGCATGAGGGGGTCAAACGTCAATGCGCCCGCTAAGGCGCAGTGGAGAATATGCGTAATTCCCCTGCGTGAAAGCTATGCAGTAAGAACTCGATAGCCCATCGACATCTTACCGAGGGAACTGCCAAGGCTTGCGCAGAGGCGCGCACGCGCCCCTCCTCACTCTAAGCCCTCCCCCCCGCCCCTCCTCCACCACGGGCGAACGTGCGGCCCGTTCGTCTCCGACGAAACCAAGGGGCGCGGCACCGCCGGCACCGCGTTGCCAACGGCGCGCGGGAGCGGGTCTGCGCGAGAAAGAAAGTTCCCTGAGCCCCTCTGCAACTCGCAAGCCAAATTCCTCTCTGTATCCAACGGAAAAGAGGACCAAGGAAGAGAACTGACGGGGGCACCATGCACTCCGAGATGCCCTCGCACATGCGATCGGCGCCCCCTGCGCCAAGACAGATGCTTTCCCCCGCGCCAAACGCGCTTAGAAATGCACGGCCTCTGCTCTGGTTTACTTCGCCTCGCGCCGGCTCGCCCGTCGCTTCATCTTGTCGTCTTCTGCAAGGTCACGCTCATTAACTGAGAAAATATGAGAAAACGTGCGGCACGTAGGAGAGATTCGCACGACATTTCCGCCCAAAGAAATAAATGGCTACGTACGTACATTCGTTTCCAATTTAGGCGCGCAAATTGGCCTGCGCTCTAATCTTCACGTGGCGGCAGTTACGCACTTGTCTCCCAACCTGGCAAAGCTCTCATTCTTTCCACTTCCGAAAGAGCGCATTCCATTGCTGGCAAAGTACGGACCGTGCCGGCGTTGGCCAATTGGTGCCGCAATTCGTCCGCGGAGTAATTATGGCCAATATTGCCTCACATGATGTCATAGATGCCGCCCAAAGTTCGCCCGCGGCGCTTCCGCGTCCGCTCTTCGACGACAAACCCTTCAACAGCTGTCTTTAACCACTACGAGGCCAAAGGGAGCCGCCGCTGGGAAAGTTTGCCGGCCCCTTTGCCTCAGCGCCCGACTCCTTCTCCACATCTTTCGAACCTGCGCAATCCCTTTGCGAAGCGAGAGTTCTGGTAGTTCAACACATGCCCCAATAGACAATAGACACCCCCCTTCCGCGCACAGCATTTGCAAGGCGCCCTTGGCGATTCCTTCGCGGGCCGCTGAAAAGCTGGGGAACCCCAAAGGCGTTGCGATCTCAGGGTCACGATTGAGGGGCATGGGTTTTCGAACTTCGTCATCGGCACCAGTCGGTTGCCTCTGACACTCGGGGCCTCTATCTTCCAAGACCTCCTTCTCGTCCGTCTCTCCGCGGGAGTCCGCGGGCGTTCGAGGTTCATCCAACTTCATCCTCCGGCGAACAAGCGAGCGCAGAGCAGGGCCGACCGGGTTCCATTGGTTCAGTCGTGCTTCGGTCCCCTGGGACAACATGTCCATGTACTTTGGTTCGGGCATGGGTCCTCGAAATTCTCCATCGGCACCCACTGGCCTATTCCGAACCTCGGGGCCTCCGACTCCCCTCAGACTTTTGCCGTCCAACTTTGCTCGCTGGCGTACAAACGAGTGCGAAGCAAGGCCAATCGAATTCCATGTGCGCAGATATTCTTCAGCTGTGCCAAACGATTGGACTCGCTTGAAGTAGGGGCAGGCTGCTCCTGGGCCCGAGCGGGCGCAGGTGCTGAGGGGAGCTGAGGCGGCACTGCAAGCTCCCCCGGCAGCTCTTCCCCCTGGGCCCCGCGGGACGCAGGGGGAAGGGGTAGCCGAGCACGCTCTGCAAACTCCCCCGCTGCCGTTTGCCCGCCCCTCTCGCCGTCGCTGTTGTCCACCTCGATGTCGGCGCCCATCTGAGCAGCCTGTGGCGGCGGCTCCTGCGCTCTCTCTTTCTGCCGAAATTGCCCAACAAGCAGACGGTCCCAGGGCGTGGCCAAACAACGGTTCACAAATTCTATTCTTGAGAAGCTGGCATTTTCAAGCATGAGTGCGGAGGATCCGTTCTCTGCGTCTTTGGCTCGTCGTTTTTTTCAGGGTCACACTCACATTTTCCATCGAAACTTGGAAAGATGCGGCACAATAAGTGACCATTACCAGATCACGACCCAGTCAATCAATCTAGAGAGGATCGCAAAGAGGTGCGGTATCGGAAAGGCAGCAGGGATTGTTATGTTGTGTTGTTCCTCCTTCTCCTCCCCTGGCCTCGGCAGAACAGCCCATCTGGCTGTCAGAGTCCGTGAGTCGTGTGCGGGGTCAATGAAAATCGTCCCTCCGTCGGGGCTGCTCAATTTGCCTGAACTCCAACGCTTTCCAGGAGGAGGAGAAGGAGGAGGAGGAGGAGGAGGAGGAGGAGGAGGAAGCGTCGGGAATATTTCACGAGTTGGGCGTTGCCCATGGGGTCGACAAGCGGCAGTTGGGCCGCGACTTGCCGCGCAGCAAATTACGGTGAGGGCATTGGACAGTCAACCACTGGACAAGGAACCCAAGGGTCTGGAATCCGGTCGAACTCCGATCGTGGATTGGCCGTGGATACCACCGCCGCCCTCATCGGATGGGGAATCCTCCAGGGTCTGAAGCTCGGCGGCGAGCAAGGGGGGCAATGAAAAGGGGAAGGCCTTGTCAGAAGGCGGCGGGACTTCTCAGAAGCCCTCGTGCCTTCTAAGAACTGTTTTGTGTCTTCGGGGACGGTTTAGAAAACTTCTTTGAAGGCTGGGGGACTTCCGAGCCTTCTGAGAAGGCCTCCTCCTTCTCGCTCCCCCCCTCGCTCGCCACCGAGAAGTCTCCCGGGCATAATCCTTCACGAACGCCCCCGCCGCACGTCTCAGAATGGACACCTCGCCCCCGGCCGCCTCCCTCGGGAGTGCGGCCGTGGGCGGGCAGGCGGCCCAGGGTCAACAACAGCAGTGTTGGTCAAGAGATCCATGGAACGCAGAAGGGCATACTAGCACTGCGCGTCCTCCTCGGAGGCGTCCGTCCGATTGTACGAACAGATGGGCAATTTCGGAAACCCTGAACCCAAAAACGTTTTCATCTATTGGGGGCGCATGCTTTACTTCCGCCACCTTCCGCCGGCTTCCGCCGGCTTCCGCCGGCGGAGGCGGCCTCGTTCTACTTCCGCCGACCTCCCGCCGCCCTTCCGCCGACTTCCACCGAGGAAGACGTGACGGCTCCTTCGATCCTCGAAGGCCAGGCCCTCTTGGAACGCCCCATGTAGTACATCCATCTTGTGGTATATCGTCTCCCGAGCGATGTGGCCATAAAGCGCCCGCCACAGAGCTTATACCAGAAGATCTCTCCGCGCGCGCCGCCCCCGTGGGGGCGACGCGCACATAGTAGTAGTAGTAGTAGTAGTAGTAGTAGTAGTAGTAGTAGTAGTAGTAGTAGTAGTAGTAGTAGTAGTAGTAGTAGTAGTAGTAGTAGTAGTAGTAGTAGTAGTAGTAGTAGTAGTAGTGGTAGTAGTAGTAGTAGTAGTAGTAGTAGTAGTAGTAGTAGTAGTAGTAGTAGCAGTAGCAGTAGTAGTAGTATGTTGGGGTGACGCCGAATCTAGGAGCTCGCGCCTGATATCCAAGAGCCTGCGGCGATACCGGTGGAGGTCTGGAAACCGCTGTGCGGGGCGACTTCCCCTGTGCTTCGTCGCACAGCTCGCCTCTTTCCTAGGGGGTTCCTCCACAACCACCTGCTGGCGAGTGACAAGTGGCGAGCTGCCCACGAGGATAGACTGCTTGACGCTGCCCGCCCCGGGTTCCTGGACGTTGCCCCCCCTCGTTCCTTGAATACGTCCTACGTCTGACCCTTGTAAACCAACGGCGACGCAAGCACAGGTGCAAGTGCAGAAGAAAGCAAATCAACGCGTCGCAGTGCAGCGCAACGTAACGGAATGCTGAAAGACGCAATGCAATGAGAGGCATATCAACGGAAAGGATGCCGAAACTGAGCAGAGAAGCAGAACGAAACCACTAAAGCCAAGCAATGCAACGCAATGCAATGCAAGACAGTGTAATACAATACAGTGCAATGCAATGCCCTGCGCTGAGCTGTAAAGAAAAACAGCACGAACTAGCCTAAAGCAGAGCAGCGCAACGCGAAGTAAAGCAACTCGTTAGCGTGTGGCATGATGTTCCCATTGCGTTAAGCGTTTGATTTGCGTCGGCTGACATGTAGAGTGAATGGCAAGAAAAAAACACAGGTTCGGGTCACGCTGGCTTCATTTTCTGGTGAGACAACCAATGAAGTGAGCGCTCGAAACCAATACCAGCCCTGCAGGGGGCTGCTAGCATCAAGACTGGCAAACCTTTAGCACCTACTAGCGGAAGTGCCCCAATGTAAGCACGCAACCTCTGGTGATCTTGCCCTCGTGTGCGGTGCTCTCGCTGCTGTGAGCAACCGGCCCTAATGGCCTCCCGGCCTTCGCTAGGACCCGCGCCCGCTCACCACGCAGCTCACGTCGCGCGGCCCTCGAACTCGTTCATGCCCAGGAACTCGTCCATGGCGGCCTTCAGCCCCGACTCCACCTCGGGGGTAATCTGCTTCTTGGTCATGATCGTGTCGAGGATCTCGCCCTTGCTGCCCTTGACGAAGTCGAGCCAGAGGGCCTCGAAGCGCAGGATCTCCTTCGTCGCCACCTTGTCGAGGTACCCGCGGGTGCCCGACCACAGCGACGTGATGATCTCCGCCGTGGTCATCGGCACAAACTGCTTCTGCTTCAGGAGCTCGGTGAGGATGCCGCCGCGCAGCAGCTGGTGCTGCGTGGACGCGTCCAAGTCCGAGCCGAACTGCGCGAAGGCCGCCACCTCGCGGTACTGCGCCAGCTCCAGCTTGAGGGTGCCGGCCACCTGCTTCATCGCCTTGATCTGCGCCGCGGAGCCGACGCGGCTCACCGACAGGCCGACGTTGACGGCTGGGCGGATGCCCTTGTAGAACAGCTCCGTCTCCAGGAAGATCTGGCCGTCGGTGATGCTGATCACGTTCGTGGGGATGTAGGCGCTCACGTCCCCGGCCTGGGTCTCGATGACCGGCAGCGCGGTCAGGGAGCCGCCGCCCATGGTCTCCTCTAGGTGGCGAGATTCGAATCCTGCCCCCAGCAGACTTCCGAACCCTGCCCCCGTCGCCCATCGAGTTGCCTGAATCGTTGATCGGCGAGGGTGGGGCTCGGATGTCGCCGCTTATCGTCTCCAAGGCCGTTCGCGGCGACAGCCAACTCGAAAGCCGATCGAACCGACAGCGAAGCCGAAGCCGACGGACATCGACAGGCCGCATGCAGCCCGGAAGTACGCAACGACGCGGCAACGACGCAATCACCGACAGAACCGAACCAACCGAACGCACCCAACTGCGGCGCAACCGAACCGACCGAACCGCGAACAACCTTGGTGGGGGAATGTGCGCAGGCGCCGCAACGCTGCTCTGTTTAGGGAGACGTGAGGCTCGGGTTCGGGGGGCTCGGGTTGGTCTGACGGGGCCTGCATGAGAATGACGAGGCCCAGCCTGAAAGTTGCCGCGAGCTCCCGCTGCAAACAGCCCACGACAACTGGACTTTCATCAGAATTCAGGACAGGCCCGTCAAAAACGGCGAAGCAGCCGCCACGGAAGTGCCGTCGGAAGCCATGGGCCCGAGAATGGGGGACCGCCAACTGCATCCGCCCATTCCACCGACCCTGGCCACTCCAAGGGCTCGAAAAGGCTCAAAGATGCCCACAAACCTAAATCCTCGAACCTCGGACCCCGAGCCTCGAACGTCGACCCTCGGCGGCGGCGACGGCGACGACGACTGGCCGGGCCAATCATGGCTCCAGTATCCTGGAGGCCCCCACGCCGTGTGGTGACGGAGCGCGCGGTGACCTCGGAATCCCCAACGAGCTCACCGCGCGGTCCGTCACTGGACGGTCATGGTGACGGGACTGCTTTCCACCACCACCACCACCATAAGTTGGAGGGGGAGGGGGTCCTCCTCCTCTTCGTACTCCACCACCTCCTCCTCCTCCTCCTCCTCCTCTTCCTCCTCCTCCTCCTCCTCCTCCTCCTCCTCCTCCTCCTGCCCCCCTTCAACTTAAGGTGGTGGTGGTGGTCGAGAACAGACTCATCATTTTGGACCTCGGCACACCAGACGCCCAGGACGGCCGTCAAAGCGGCCGCCGGTCTCCTCGTTCATCTTGGCGGCACGCTCCAGCAGGCGGGAGTGGAGGTAGAACACGTCGCCCGGGTAGGCCTCGCGGCCCGGCGGGCGGCGGAGCAGGAGGGACATCTGCCGGTAGGCCACCGCCTCTGGAGAACAAGCCATGGCACAAACAAAGACATATTTGTATCCTATCCCCCCCTGACGTTGCCCTTATGCCCGCACATCCCCCCGAACGTTGCCCCCATCGATGCATCCCCCCCTGATCATATACCCCCCATCCTTGCCCCTGACGCCCCGCCTTTGGGGAACAGGCCACGACACGAACACACACTTTCGGGAGGCCGGCGCGGATGTCTCGGACCGGCGCTGGAGCACCCTGATCCTATCCCCCCCCCCTAGCGTTGCCCCTGACGGCCCGCGCTTTGGGGGACAAATCATGGCAGAAACAGAACCCGTCGGAGGTCCGCGCGGACTTCTCGGCTCGGCGCTGGAGCCCCCTGGGCGCGCTCCGCGGGCCAGGGCGGGGGGTCCAGCGCCGATCCCAGAACCCATCGCGGACCTCTGAAAGGCAGGGGGGGACCAGCTCACGGGGGGGAAGCATCGGGCATGGATAGGTAATACGTCGCCGATAGATCGCCGTTTGGTCCCCGACAGCGAATCCGCACGTTCCTGGGCGGAATGGGGCTATCGGGCCCCTATCAGCGATGACTGGGCGATTGGGGTTCGATGCATCCCCCCCTCCCCCTCTGATCCTATCCCTCCCTAACGTTGCCCCTGACGCCCCGCTTTTGTGGAACAAATAAAGGCATGAACGTAAACTTTCGGAGGTCCGCGCGGATTTCTCGGATCGGCGCTGGAGCCCCCTGGCGGCGCCGCCACTGGCGCGCTCCGCGCGCCAGGGAGGGGGGTCCAGCGTCGATCCAAGAAACCATCGCGGACCTCCGAATGTTTGTATATGTCATGGCTTGCTTCTCGGCGCCTGCTTGGAGAGGTCGTCGTAGAAGATCACGGCGTGCTTGCCTTGAAAATGCAAGACATCTGATGCCTTGATTTTCCAATACGGCGTCCCCAGGAGTTCCGACCCTTCCCCCAGGGCCGGTCTTTCGTCCCGAGTCGTGCAAGGGCGGTCCCAGGGCCCGGCGAGGGCCCCCAGAGGCCGAAAATGGCGAAAGACCCTTCGAGCAACTTGGATGTCTGGGTTTCTGTCTATGCAAGTTGCTGCTGTTCTCGGTGGCCAGCCTGGGGGGGAAGTGAGAGGGGGCGGAGAAGGCTCGGAAGCTTTCTGGCCTTCTGAGAAGTGCTCTGAGCCTTCCCCGAAGACACCGAAACTTGCCGGAGGGCTGGAGGATTTCTGAGAAGCCCCGCAGCCTTCTGAGAGGGCCTTCTACCTCTCACTCACCCCCCTCGCTCGCCGCCGACTCTGATGGGCCCATTTTCCACCACCACTACCATAGGTAGGAGAGGGAGGAGGAGGAGGACGAGAAGGAGGAGGAGGAGGAGGAGGAGGAGCAGGACCTCCTTATCCTCCCTTCTCCCCCTACATATTGTAGTGGTAATGGAAAAGTTGCCCCATCGGACTCGGCTTGTGTCTCTGCAGTCTGCTGCTCTTCGCTGACCGGTGTCGCGGAAGTACTCCGCCATGGCGCAGCCCGTGTAGGGGGCGAGGAACTGCAGGGGCGCGGCGTCCGAGGCGGTGGCCGCCACGATGGTGGTGTACTTCAGGCAGTCGTTCTTTCGCAGGATCTCGAAGAGCTGGGCGACGGTGGAGCGCTTCTGGCCGACCTGGACACACACAGACATGAGAGTAGAAGAAGAAGAAGAAGAAGAAGAAAAAAAAACATCAGCATAAACTTCCGACGGTCCGCGCGGGTTCCCTGGATCTGCGCTGGGCCCCCCTCCCTGGCGCGCGGAGCGCGCCAGGGTCGGCGCCGGCGCCGCCGGGGGGGGGGGGCCATGGCGGATCAAAGAAATCCGCGCGGAGCGCCATAAGTGTATGTCTTTGGCGTTTTTGTTTCTTCTTCGAGGAAGGGACCCAGGGAGACGCAAGTAAGTATTCACACATCCCAGGATGCCCATGACTTGTTCTATGTTCTGGATGCTCGTTTTCCCCTCCCTCTTCCCAAGTTTTCTCACTTTTTTGAGAATCGACGTTTAGCTGTGGTTGTGCCTATTTCCTTCCTGAGACATGATCGCGTCGTGAAAATCAGGACGGGAAGTGTTTGGGCCGTTTTTGGCCTCTGAGTGCTCTTGCCAGGCCCCAGGGCCGTCTGAAAACGAGTCAGGATGAGAAGCCGGTCCCGGGGGAAGGGTACGGAGTCACGACCTCTGGGGAACACGAACTGACAAGATCAGGACATCGCACGTCTGGGACAACAAATCTGCACAACACACAAACTCTCGAATGTCCGCGCGGTGTTTTTGGATCTGCGCTGGATCTCCCCTCCCAGGCGCGTGGGGCGCGCCAGGTGCGGCGCCAGATGCGCCGCAAGGGAGGTCCGGCGCAGATCCGAGATGTCCGCGCGGCCCCTCGAACACTCATGTGTATGCCGCTCTGCTCTCTCCGGCGACCGCGACGTAGATGCAGTAGAGGTGCGCCTTCTTGTCTGGCGACGCGTTGATCGACTTCTGGTTCAAGATCGTGTCGATGGCGATGGCGGTCTTTCCCGTCTGCCGGTCCCCGATGATGAGCTCACGCTGGCCGCGGCCAATGGGGATGAGGCTGTCCACGGCCTTCAGGCCCGTGGTCATCGGCTCGTGCACGCTCTGGCGCGGGATGATGCCGGGAGCCTTGAGCTCCACGCGGCGCCTCTCCTTCGTGGCGATGGGCCCCTGGCCGTCGATGGGGGTTCCGAGGGCATCGACGACGCGCCCCAGGAGGGCGTCGCCGATGGGCACGTCGACGATCGTGCCCGTGCACTTGACGCTGTCGCCCTCGACGATGGCGCGGTCGTCTCCGAACACCACCACGCCAACGTTGTCGGTCTCCAGGTTGAGGGCCATGCCCTTGGGGCGGGAACTGTGCACCAGATCGGGCTGCATCGGCACGGAATCGAAACCGAATCGGATCGGCTGAGCCTGCACGCACATCAGCGCCATGTAGATATCGGGCCGCATCGGATCGTCGGAATATTGAAAACGGTTCGGATCGAGTCAACCAAAATCGATGTCGAATCGGACCGATCGGATCGAACTGGACCCTGCCTTGAGGCCGCTGGAGAACTCGACCATCTCGCCAGCCTTCACGCCCTTGAGGCCGTAGATGCGGGCGATGCCGTCCCCAACGCTCAGCACACGGCCCACCTCCTGGACGTCCTGCTGGTCCGAGAAGTTCGAGATGCGGTCGCTGAGGATCTTCGTGAGCTCGGCGGGGCTCATCTTGGCCGCCGGCCTCGGCACGATGGCAGGGCCGAGCCGGAGATTGGCTGCGATTCCACTCCCGTGACGCCCGCTGCGGGGGGATGGGGGGGGGGGCGGACCTGCCAGCGCCACCGCAGGCCTGTGAGCATCTCAGAGCAGGCCTGTCGGCACCACGGCCTGCCCGTGAGCACCGCGCCATGCCCGTGGGGGGAGCCCGCACCCTCCCGCAGACGTTCGGCACAACTGCGGGGAGGAAGAGGGGCGGGGGGCAGCGACACACCCGTCACGGACGTTCCGGGACCACCGAATGAAATTAGGTCGGGCATGTCCTCCTACGGGCGGACTTGCCACGAAAAATTGACAATAGTCAGAAAATCATCAAAACATGCTCAAGAGTACTCAAAAAGTCATCCCCAGACTATTTTTCAACTACTTTTGAATATTCCTCCTGTAGAGGGACCTGCCAGACTCGGCGGTGGACAAACCTTCCTTTAGCAAACCTCCCTTAGTGAAAACGGCCTAGGACCGAAACCGACGGACCTGGACCCGCAGAAAGAACGGCCGCGACGCCCTCTCGCGAACCGAAAACGGCCAATTCACTAATCGACGTGTCAGGGTAGGAGGTCTATCCACCCCCGACAGACTCAAGGATAAAATGCAGTCTCCCGCCGCTCTGATCCGAACCGAAGGCGGCCGGGACAACCGCAACGAGCGCGCGCCGAGCCGACCCGAACCGCGGCCGCCGTGCTCCCCTCGGATTGGCGCTGCAATGTGTCAGCGCTGGGCGTTCTCGCCCGCGTTCGGGCCCGGGCTCCTCCCTCTTCCTCGTCTTCCTCCTCCTCCTCCACACAGACGTTGACGTTGACGTCGTCGTCGTCGTCGTCGTCGGCGGCGTCGTCGTCGTCGGCGTCGTCGATGGGTATCTGGCCCCAGTCGTGATTTTCCCTGATGCCCACGTGTGTCCGAAACGAGGGGGAACGTTAGTTGAGCAGGGACCGACCGTCCCGGCATTCCCATAGGTCTACAAAAATTTTCGTATAACCAAAAACAGGTGTTCAGAAAAACAATGTTCTTAGAAAAGAATGCCGATGTGCTAGAACAAGGCAGTCTCAACCAGAAATGCTGTAAGAGAATTTCGCGCAGACCACAAAATGGGATTATAACATTCTTTGGTGCGCCAATAGACAAGCAATGACGCTTAGCCACTGCTCGAGTTAGGGGGGAGTTGGCTCAGGGGGGAAACCATGAAGCTGGAATCAGCGATACGTGGCCGCTGGATCGGCGACATGCGCATCCGCACTATGGTCCTCGTCAGGCCCCTGACGGAGATGAGGGGAGCGATTGGGGGCCGACACAATCCCCCACGGAGCATATACGGTCAGGAGCGTTGGCTTGGGCGTTGCTCAATGGGGCGGCGATGAAAGGGGAGGAAGCAAGGCGTACTTCTCGGACCGCAGAGGCCCACGTCTGGGCCCCAAAGTGCCCCGTGAGCGTTCCTGAAGGGCCCTTTTCTGCGGCCCCCGCTGCCCCCCATCCGTCGTCCCCCCAATTGCGCGACGCCCGATTGGCATGGGGTGCCGCTCCGCAGGCTCTGGCCCACCACGCCTCGGCGCGACCACGCTATCCGCGTCCACAGTCCCAAGCATCAGCATCCCGAGCTTCTCCCAGCCTCCCGCCCCGCGGGGTGTCGCGGGGGGCTGCCGCGGCGACACGCTGAGCAAACGTTCCTGACCGCATCCCCCTGCTATCGGGGCATACCTCGACCTTTCGGCGGCCGCTCGGGATGATCCAAGCACCCCCGGAACGCTCTCGGCGAGGCGCAACCGCTGGAGAGCACCCCGATACTGGAAAACTTCCGAGAACGGACGAGGACGCCCGAAAATCTCGAACTTCGAACCAGGAAACCTCGAACCCAGAGTCTTCCCCCTGAGCCCACCCCCGCCGAACGCTGCCCCTGAGGCTGCGCCGGACGAGGGCAGTGAGCACCCTCCGGCGCGCTCCCTCCGAGCCGCCCGATGGACCCAGGGGTACCTCTGCGCCGACGCGTGCAGGTGGCGCGCGGCGCCCGCCGCCAGCGCCGCGCGCTGCGCGGCCGCGGGCCTGGCGGCTGGCGCGCGCGCCAGCGCGCGCGACACGAGGCGGGCGGACATGGCGGCGGATTGGCGCGTCGGGCGTGCGCGGAGAGCGCCTCGGAAGGCGGGCGGAGGCGGCGGCTGCTCGAGCCGGCAGGGCAGCGTCGTCTTCCCCGTCTTAACTCGCCGTCGTCGTCGAACTTCGTCGTCGTCGACGGAAACTGCTTATCCTGCTCCCTCCTCCTCCTCCTCCTCCTCCTCCTCCTCCTCCTCCTCCTTCCCCATCCTCCTCCTTCTCCTCCTCCTCCCTCGCCCTTGAGCGCTTCCTGACCAGGATTCCGAGACCCTCCAGGAAGCCCCACGAGAATGCGGGGTACAACAGGAACACAGCAGGACAGCCCGCCGTTTGGGCCCCACCGCAAACCCAGCGGCGAGAAGTGAGGACCGAAATCTGGGAGTCCCGTCGGCTTGCCACTGGTTGCGCCGCAGGTTGCGCCATGGGCTGCGCCATGGAGTGCGCCACAGCCTGCGCAACAGGTTGCACCAAAGGTTGCGCCACAGGTTGCACCATCGGGTTGTGGCGCAGGTTGCGCGTTGGGTTGCGCCATAGGCTGCGCCATCCACAAGTTGTGCAATGAATGCGCCATGGATCGCGCCATGAGTATGGCGTCCGGTTGCGCCATAGGTTACGTCATCGGTCGCCGAAGAAAATAGCCTGACGAAGGACCCAACCACATTCAGTTGCGAGTACCGCATTGTTGGTACCTGGTTCGGTGGAGCTCCCCATGGGGCCACGAAGCGCTGTCCTGGGTGGCGTTGACACATGCGGCTTGTGCCACTGGAGCCTTCGGTGGAGCTCCCGATGGGGCCACGAAACGCTGTCCTGGGTGGCGTTGACACATGCGGCCTGTGCCACTGGAGCCTTCGGTGGAGCTCCCTATGAGGCCACGAAACGCTGTACTGGTGGCGTTGACACATGCGGCCTGTGACATTGGAGCCTTCGGTGGAGCTCCCGATGGGGCCACGAAGCGCTGGCGTGAGTGGCGTTGGCGCACGCAGCCTGTGCCACTGGAACCTTCGCTGAAGCTCCCGATGGGGCCACGAAGCGCTCTTCTGGGTGGCGTTGGCGCATGCGGCCTGTGCCACTGGAGCCTTCGGTGGAGCTCCCCATGGGGCCACGAAACGCTGTCCTGGGTGGCGTTGACGCCTGCGGCCTGTGCCACTGGAGCCTGCGGCCTGCGCCACTGGAGCCCTCGGTGGAGCTCCCAATGGGGCCACGAAACGGTGTCCTGGGTGGCGTTGGCGCATGCGGCCTGTGCCACTGGAGCCTTCGGTGGAGCTCCCAATGGGGCCACGAAATGGTGTCCTGGTTGGCGTTGGCGCATGCGGCCTGTGCCACTGGAGCCTTCGGTGAGTTCCCGATGGGGCCACGAAGCGCTGTCCTGGGTGGCGTTGGCGCATGCGGCCTGTGCCACTGGAGCCTTCGGTGGAGCTCCCCATGTGGCCACGAAACGGTGTCCTGGGTGGCGTTGACGCATGCGGCCTGTGCCACTGGAGCCTTCGGTGGAGATCCCCATGGGGCCACGAAACGCTGTCCTGGGTGGCGTTGACGCATGCAGCCTGTGCCACTGGATCCTTCTGTGTAGCTCCCTATGAGGCCACGAAACGCTATCCTGGGTGGCGTTGACGCATGCGGCCTGTGCCACTGGAGCATTCGGTGGAGCTCCGATGGGGCCACGAAGCGGTGTCCTGGGTGGCGTTGACACATGCGGCTTGTGCCACTGGAGCCTTCGGTGGAGCTCCCCATGTGGCCACGAAACGCTGTCCTGGGTGGCGTTGACGCATGCGGCCTGTGCCACTGGAGCCTTCGGTGGAGCCCTCCATGGGGCCACGAAGCGCTGGCTTGAGTGGCGTTGGCGCATGCGGCCTGTGCCACTGGAGCCTTCGGTGGAGCTCCCTATGGGGCCACGAAATGCTGTCCTGGGTGGGTGAAACGCCAGAGAGGTGACGAGGCGGATGGGAGGAGGAGGCGGAGGAGGGGAGAGGAGAGGAGAGGAGAGGAGAGGAGAGGAGAGGAGAGGAGAGGAGAGGAGAGGAGAGGAGAGGAGAGGAGAGGAGAGGAGAGGAGAGGAGTGGAGTGGAGTGGAGTGGAGTGGAGTGGAGAGGAGAGGAGAGGAGAGGAGTGACGCGGGGCGCTGTCTCTCCAAAACGAAGACCCAACCACACAAGATGGTTGGAAACCACACCCGATTGCGCCATGGATTGCGTCATTGGCTGCGCCCTCGACCGCAGAAAGCAACACCGCCTGTTTGAGCAATGGGTTGTGCCCTCGGCCACTGTACGCTCTGATCTATAACTAGCTCCGCCCTCGACAGCCAACAATAGAACTCTCTGCTCGCGGGCGCGCCCAGTGCAGTACAGTCAGTCAGTCAGTCAGTCAGTCAGTCAGTCAGTCAGTCAGTCAGTCAGACTGCCAGTCAGCCAATGAGTCTGGCAATCTGCCAGCGGACTCCCTGAACCCAAATCTGGGGCACGCCCGAAATTATTACTACATCTCCTTCCGCCATCTTCGTCCTGGCTGTCGCAGTCAGCGTCGTCGCCGTCGTCCACAAACATCCGACGCCGTGGTAGCTTCACGACGTGAGCTCCATGAGCTCTCGACCACATCACCGCGGGTATTCATGTTGCCCTGGGTTGTGCCGGATGGCCCCTGGCCCGACAAGGGCCCTCGAGGCCGAAACCTTCAAACCACACACACACACACGAACACCCGCATCCACACACACAACACAAATGCGTGACGCCTGGAGGTCTTCATCAACGTCGTTGTCGTTGTCGTCGTGCTCGTCGTCGTCGCCGCCGCCGCCGTGGCCGCCGACGAAGGCCGCCAGCCAAAGGCCGCCGAAGGCCGCCGAATGCTGCCGAGGGCTCCGCCAACGTCGCGGTAGTGGGCCGCCAAGGGCTCTCTGTTGGATGGGTCTCTCAGGCTCTCCGCCGCCTCAAGCGGTGTTCGTTCAGAGCAGGAGCACAGCAAAGTCATGGGAAGGCGTGTCATTGACAGTGCAGCTCCGCACATGTGGGCGACGATCAACAAGGGATCTGACGCGAGATGGCACAGCGACCTTTCGCGGCGGCTTGCGCGGCGGCCAACGAGGGCGCTTACACGCTAACGAGGGCGGTTACACGCAACCTTACACGCGCAGCTTACGCGCCAGTGTCGGCGCAGGCGACCCCGTTATTCGGCGTAAATCTTGTGTCAAATGCTGCAGCGAGCAAG